TGATTTTCCTGTTTTTGGATTAACAAAAGTTGGTATTCGATTATGATCGATTGAAACATATGGTAACCAGGTCACCAAACTAACCTGGTGAGGGTGGGGTCTAGTGTGGGTCAGTCGAAGACCCCGGACTTTTGAAAAAGTGAAAAACATAAATTGAACCAAAGTCAAAAATGGTATTCTCAATGTTGCATTATGAGACTGTTGGTCCTGTAAGTAATGACTTACATAAGATGTATTTGTCGAAGATGGGGCGTTGAATACAAACACAACAAATTTTCACTTTTTAATTCTATATTTTGTATTGAAATAAAGAATTATAAATTTGCTGCGGAAGTTAGGAAAGTAAAACATGTGATCCTAAACAATCTGACTGGTGACAAGTTTGCTAACAACGAAATATTAAAGAAAGAAAGGACTTTTTCAGATCGAACGACTAAGATCGTTCTCTAGATGTTGGTGCGATTTCGCCCGATGAACTATCACATAGAAGTTTTTTCAAAATAGGTTAGTAGTATTGAATGATAAAGATAGCGTTTTATAGCCACCATTGCATTAAATGTTACTGTCTAGCTTTAACATATGTCTTCATTTGATTTATTAATTTATGCATGCTTGCACTCTTCATTTCAGCCTTTATGATTGACGTAGATACTTGTTAATCTATCCCATCCTTTTGTATGTAGAGAGAACAATAAAGAAAGTATGACACTAATAATATAGTGTTTTGGAGCTTATTTTGATTGACATACAATGCATGTTCTCATACCAGGATGTGAGTCAAAGAATTGATGAGTCAAACTTGTTGGACAAGTTTGCACTTCAAAATCTCGCTTGCCAGTAGTAGTGTTTGTCAGACTACTATTTGACTTTATCTTGTACTAATCTTCTTCTTGGCTAGATGACAAACCAATTCGCTCTAATGACTATATTGACCTTACTTCAACTAATCATCAATTTTATTGAAGGCATTTCGTTCTTAGATCAATACGTATAATTACAATTTTTTACAAGTAAATATCTTATCGTGTTCAATTCTGAAATATAAGTTATAGATTAGATTTCGAGCTATAGAAATTTTATGAAGTTGATCCATCAAATACTAAAAGAACTTTATATAAATTGTGGGATCTTGAATTTCAAGTTGGGATGATAAAAAGGAATGTCCATCGAATTTATCCTAATCTATAAGAGGATCTAATGGGTGACTTACATTCAAATCCTTATGAATAAGGTTTCAGGTGTTACTTTATAGGAGTTGTATCTGACGGACGACATTCATAAGATATTCTCCTTGTAAGACAATAAATCGTAAATTTCTTTCTAAGTGTTTGATCGGATGCTACATGTATTATTTAGAAATCCAATGGTTGAGACGAATAGAGACCTTCATGTATAGGAGTTATCCTTAGAACATGGGTCACGACTAGGCTTGTAGAGTGTGCGCATATAATATTTGAAATAGAAGTTCATAAAGATGCATGGTGTTGTCTTTTTTAGACCTCTTAAATGGTTTTGATTGCTTAACTTTTATGGTCATACAAAACATTGCACATATTTTGAGCATGCAGAAGTTTATGACTGTTATTTTGGATCTTGTTAAAACCAAACCAAACAAACAAATAAACCCACTATATTCTAATTTTATGCCGACGTTTCCTCTGCCTCTTAATTTTTGAAAATGCTAGACCAGTAGATCTTATTGCAAGGTCTAAATGTTGAAAATGCTATACCTAAATGTTGCGTAAGTTTTCAAATTTCTACTATAGAGATTGACATCTATTGTAAAAGTTATGCTTGAAAAAACATGTTATACCCCAGATCTGACAGTAGAATAATCTAATAAAGGAAATCAAGAGAGATTTGTAGAAGTAGAAGATGAAATAGAAACCGTCGGCGTTTTCTTTATTGAATGGAAATTACAAACTCTCAAGAACCCTAATCGACTCTCATAAGATGAGTCTGAATCTATGTTTACAATGAATTTTCTAATTTGCTCTCGTACATTTTTCTTAACCTGAACCACTACTTATATAGGCAATAAAACATGAAAACTGAATAAGATAAGCATTATCCAGAATAGGATTAGCCTTATCCAGAATAAGATTATGAAGATAGTCGTCTTGAAGGACCAGAGGATAAACCAGAGGATAGACGACCACAGAAGCTCTGTTACTCCAGAGGCTCTGTTCCTCCAGAGGCTCGTCCTCCAGAGGCTCTGGTCAATACAACCAAAGGCTCTGGTGTCTCTGTCATTCATAGAGGCTCTGGTTCTCTTCATAGAGGCTCTGGCTCAGGTCCGCTTTACAGAGACTCTGGTCCACTTCACAGAGGCTCTGGTCCACTTTACAGAGGCTCTGGTTCTGCTTGCAGAGGCTCTGGTCGTCCATACTTGGTCGATTTAGCGCAGCGGCTGGTCTTCTTCCAGACTTAGACGTTTTGGCACARCAGCGTCTTCAGATGATCCATTCTTAGCCCARATTGCTTAATAAAACTTTTTAAGATAATTATTAGCATCAATTTGATGCTAACAATCTCCCCCCAAAGTTTTATGAAGCAAGCATCTTCATGAAGTCTTCAGGTCTTCTCCCCTCTGCTTTCTTTATTAAAGCTTCAGTGTGCTTAATATGGATGGAAATTTCAAGCTCCCCCCAGAATGTAGCTCTGTGTTCTTCATTTTCAACTCTTGGATCAAAACAGATTCAATGTGAATGCAGCACCACTGATTGCACAAGATGCAGCTTTAATCTGCTCACAATCCAGCACATTCTTTGAAGCACGAAATAGCCACTCACCCCAAAAGTAGCAAATTCATCCATAAAGGGATAGATAAATGTGTGAATTACTTGACAAAACAGTGCAAACAGTCTAATGACAAAGAAACTTTCATTGAACCGCAAGTTGAGTAGGAATTCAGCTTTAGAGCTTGAATCAATTGGAGATAATCTTGAATAACCGAAGCAAACACCATTGGAATTAAGAACTGGAGAGAAGAATTAACATTTAGGCTTTTATGACTTCAAGAAACAGCAGGTCAATTCAAAGAAAATTGACAGAAATGCTATTTATTGTTCTAAGGGCATATCATGAAGGAAATTGCCATAAACATGTATGAATGGTGAGTACAGGCAAAAGAAATTTTTTAAGCTCTTATAGATTCAAATCCACAAAGAGAGAAGATGAAATAACACTCAAGATATTGGCGATATATGTTTGGCAAATAAAACACCAATTGCCTTAGGCTGTGAGTATCATGAACTTTTGCTAAACGMCTATGCGTAGATTTGACAATAACAARATTCAAAAAGTCGACTGTCTCCAAGAAACTCTATAGACATTTAAACACAGGAAGAAATCAGAGTTTTTGGGACCAAACTGCAGTCGAACAGCAAGCAGTTCATTAGAGTATTTTTYAAGAAAATTGAATCTGCTGCCAGAAAGATCGTATCGATTGAAGATAATCGATTTGGCTCTGATACCACTTGTTATACCCCAGATCTGACAGTAGAACAATCTAATAAAGGAAATCAAGAGAGATTTGTAGAAGAAGAAGATGAAATAGAAACCGTCGGCGTTTTCTTTATTG